CTGTTAAGAGTCCCCTGCCCTCAGTTCTAATGACTTTTTTCAAGAAGGATCCTAACTTATTTGTTTGTAAAGGTGTTGATGGATTAAGTAAATAATGAATTTTTTCTTCTTCATTTAAATTATTAAAGTTATTATTTTCAGTACATATGTGTTCAAAAAGGTATTTCTTAGTGTTTTATTATAATCACAATAGAGTAAAAAATGTTTCTCATCCTCTAGTATTTTATATTTATGACAAAAACGTTCCTCTCTTGGAATTTTAAAATATCTCCCCTTTTCAATTAAGAGGGAGTGATCACTTAGTCTAAATTTAGTGATCAATCTCCTTATCTGAAAATTAGATATATTTAGATAAGATTCTAGTTTGCAATCTTTTTTAAGTTTTTTATATAGATAAAATTTACTTTTATCATCAATGTTTTCAAATTTAGTTTCAATTAAATCTTCATATCTATTTTTCATTTTTAACTTTATATCGTTTTTTATTTTATTTACATCTTTTATGTCCTTACAATTAGAAAGAATATTAAGGTCAATATTAGTCTCTTCAACAATTTTTTTTTGCATATGTATACCATGAATAGGCAATCTTCCTAATTCAACTCTTGCTCCTAAATTGGATGCATTTTTTCTTATTCCTAGAGTAGGTTTACAAAATTTAAGATAAAATTGAGAATGGATGCATATTTTCAATAGGGGTTTTGTCTGTAAAATCAAGTTGATTATTTTGTTTTCCTGAAGATAAGGCTCTGTTTTTGGCTCTATGAAAAGAAATATATGTATCCAAATATGTTACTTCTGAATTATTATAGGTCATAATTGGTTTTACTAAAGAATCAAAAAGATTATTTGCTACTTTTATAGGTAGATTATTCAATGATTTAGTATAGGATTTTATTGCAAAAAATACTTTTTTTGTCTTTTTTGTCAGCTCTAAAGTACTTTGTGATAGATTTCCATTACATTTTATCAACATTCCCAAAAATGAATATTCTGATACGCTCTCTATGGCTTCATTCTCATAGTAAATATGTGATGTTTCACCATTTTGTTTGGACTGACTGAAAATCATGGATTTTGTTTTGTTTGTATTTAAAGAGAGTTGCCATTTGTTGCAATATAATTTAACATTATTTAAATTGTTTTGAAGACCCTCTTTCGATTCTGACAGGATCAAAAGATCATCCGCAAAGTATGCATCCCACCTTACTATTCATAAGCTTAAGGGGACTTGAATCATTTCCCTCAAAATTTTTTACAATATCATTTATGAAGACATTAAATAAAGTGGGGTTCAGGGTGTCTCCTTGTTTAACCCCTCTAGCAATATTAAAACATTTTGATACATAATCTTTGTATTTCAAAGATGATTTAGTATTTAAGTATTGTTGTTTTATAACTCTGTAAAAAGACCTGCCAACTCCCATTTTGCATAATTTATAAAGTAAAGCAGTTCTCTATACTGAATCAAACGCCTTTTTCAGATCTATAAAGCAGGCATAAATCTTATTTTTCTCTTTATGTAGATATTTATTAATCAAGGACTTCAATAAAAAGATGCTATCAGCTGTTCTGTGATTTTCTCTGAAACCAAACTGACAATCACTTAATTGTTTGTCAACAATCTTGATTAGCCTATTATTCAATATGGCATTACAAATTTTTGGAAGATTACTTATAAGAGAAATTTCTCTATAATTATTAGGGTCTAACTTGTCACCTTTTTTATGTAAAGGGATCATGAAAGATAATTTCCATGAATCTGGTTATTACCTGTCTTTAAAATCAAATTAAAAACTTTTACAATAGAATTAATTATCACAGGTTGTGAATGTTTGAGTATTTCATTCACAATTCTATCTGGACCTGCTGATTTGTTTACTTTAAGGTTTGAAATGACCAGTTTTACCTCAGCAAATGTAATTGGTGCATCAGTTTCCATATTCAATTCAATATTATCCTCTAGAATGTTTAATTCACGTTCCAGTTTATTTACAAAGGGTTTATCATATGATGCTGGTGTACCCTGATCCTGAAAATGTTTTATGATTTTATTTGCATTCATTAAAATTTCAGGAATATCTTCTTCAATATGTGGTTTCTTTTTTATTGCCTTTAGAACATTCCAATATTCTTTTGGATTATTTTTAAAATTATCTGAAAGTGATTTATAAAGTTTTTGGTGATATTCAAATTTTTTTATTGTACTTATATGTAATATAAGTACTGTTTATACAAACAGCCTTTCCAGCTTACACTTAATAATTAATGTGATAATAAAGATGCTGACATTCTGGATACATTTAATTAACATACACAGACCACTTGTTATATCTTGAGGTTAATTTCCCTGGCATTTGACACTTTGAAGTTACAACTGGAATCTCACTAGGAGGCACTATAATCTTTTCTTAATCAGATACATGTCATAAATAATCACTGATGGTGAGGAAATGCAGATTATGATACCAGATCTTATAAAAATTAATTACACAACAATTAGTATACTATCTGAAGGTCAGTGAGGTCAGTCTCCTCCCACTGTATAATTGATGTACCCTATCTGTGTGTAAGGCCATATGCATGGTCTTTGTATAATCAGTTGCTTGGTTCATAGCAGTCTTGACTAGTTGATATAGTTTTACAGTGCTATTATTTAATTTACCGCCCACCATCCACCTTCCTAACACCTTCAATAATGTTTCATGACAAGGGAAACATCACAGCTTTTACTAGTGATATATATTTTATTTTATTAATTTGAATTCCTTGATGGAATTTTATCACTGGTTATTTCTAAAATTTCATTCATCCCCAAGCATTTCGGGGACAAATTTTATCAAATTTATTCCAGCGCCAGTTTGATAGACCCCTGCTACTCTACTAGCACATGGGCTATCCCCATGCAGACCTTGCACACCCCGGCTGCAGATGAGACGCCAAGTCTCATCACCTAAGTGGAGAACCCTCGCTTCACATTCCCCGGCTGGCGTATTGTCGGGCAGGCAGGTTCTTCCTCACACTGGAGGTTGCAAGCTGACTTGCTCAGGCAGGAACTCAAAATTGTCTTGTATGCTGAGTGTTTCTCTAGGGCCAAAACCAGATTGATTAATTGTTTTTTATAATAAAATTATTATTCATTCTAAAATATCTTTCTGCTTTAAGCCAGTATGATTTTGCTAAGACTATGTTTTTGGTTTACACACAGATACCCCTTATGTTACATTTGGTATTGTTTTTGGAGCTGGTATTTGCTCAATTACATGGATGAGATCTGGACTTTAATAATTGAGATTTGCTCTATTAGGAGAGTTTTACTTTAATTAAGTGTGGGTTGTCAGGACTTGCTCATCAATACACACAAAACATAACTCTACCTGAAAAATTACATCTGTTAAAATATAGGTTGATGGGATCATAAACATTTCATTTTATCAATGGAAGGCTTGCATATTGATACCTTGATCTTTGGAAAAGGTAAATAAAAATATGTCTCAAGAAATTTAGTAAGCCTGCCTCTGGTGACTTGGAATGTTTTGATCACTGACACTAGAGGCATAAACAAGGAGTATTTGCAGACCACTCTAACAACTTCACAAGAATTCAAGACAACCTCATACTAAAAAGTACAGAAACAATATTTCACTTTATGAGACTATAAATATACAACATTAGACTGGAGAAAAAATAAAAATATGAGACTACAGAAAAGAATTACAATATGAGACAACAGAATACAAATTTGGTTGTTTGTATAAACTGTTTAATCATTTTTTTTTTAGTTTTTTACATAATTCAAAATATTTAGGTTTTAAACTTTTGTCATTTAAGTTATTCTTGATTTTATTTCCTATATAGTTTATTTGTCTTTTTGTTTCATATACTGTATTATCTGACCATACTTGTTTAATTTTTTTCTTTTTCTTTTTAGTTGGTTTAGATATGCCTTTACATGTTTTTTCTGCAAAATTTAAAAAAAAATTTGTTAGTTTTTCAGTTGCACCATCAACGCCTAGTTTATTGCTATCAAAATGTTGCATCTCTAAATCTAAAATTTCCTTTCTAACATTTTCTGTTGATCAATTAATTTTTACATCTCGTACACATGTACCAATGAATTTAGAATTAGGATAAAACATAGATTGCATGGTGCGTGTTAAAATCAAGATACGGCACGGAACAAGTTGAAAAATCTAGCGGGAAAGAATGGATGTCACACATGTATTTTTTCAAAATTCATATGTAGTCCCACATGCATTAGTTGCATGCAAAATTTGATAACAATCCGTGTATGGTGGATTTTATATTGACTTATAATTCTTATTTCTGTAAGTTTTTACATCTCGTACATATGTACCAGTGAATTTAGAATTAGGATAAAACATAGATTGCATGGTGCGTGTTAAAATCAAGAAACGGCACGGAACATGTTGAAAGATCTCAGATCTTGCAATTACAACGATTTGATATATCCTTTTGCCAACTTCCCGTTTCTGGATAGTATATAAAACTCTCTCCTAACCTATGCTGATAATATATAATAAGATGGAGATATGGTGTGATTGCAAATGAGACAAATATCCACGAAGACCAAAAAGACAAAAATGTAAACAATTACAGTTAACGGAATGACATTCAACGATGATCAATAAATGACCTAGTATTACAAAATGTGAAACAATTCAAAAGTAAAAAAACTTGAACAGCGGTCTGATGATCAACAACAATTAAAGAACACATGCAGCAACAAAAGTATTTTTGGCAAGACTACATATCATTTATTTTCGTTTTTATAGAAGTACATTGTGTTTAAATTTGATGTATCTTAGTAGTGACGAAAATACAAAATGATTTTAAGTGGAAGGTTTTTGAGCCGTTTTATGTAAATATAATCGCCGTTGTATCTTCACAAGTGTGTATCTTAAAGCTGCCTGTACCAAATATGGAATACGATGAAAGTTTGCTGGACAGTACTAGTTAAAAAAAGTATTAAAACTTACGAGATTCTCAGTGTGGCTCACTTTCATTTCTTTGATTGACGTACAACTGCCATTTTCATTCCTTTGTGTAATAAGAAAATGAGTAAATAGTGGATTTTTTTTTAAAGAACATAACAATAATAATCTTTATTCTCATAAACCATGATCGGAACCATAACTTAATGGAACGATAATTAATATAACTGCAACATTTTCAATTTTAATTAAGAAGTTTTTGATTTGCAATATCAAGTGTGTCTGTAGCTAAAGATTATACAGCATTACCACCATTTCTCGTTTTCCGTGTCACCATGGTTTATGACTTTTTAGAGCAAAAGCTTATGTTGCTTGTATACTTTGCAATTGATTATTTTACTATCTCTGTTTTTTGTTTTTTTTGTTTTTTTTTTGTGTCTTACCAGGTTTAATAGTTTGATATAGTTGACAAGAACGCAATAGATCAAGGATTATAAAAATAAAGTCAAATGATAGCACATTACCCAAAATTCCTCGGAAGAAAATTTTTAAATCCTTTTCGAAAACCTTCAGTTAATTACTGATTGCTACAGAAGTGTTAAAACAAGAAAATCCATCACCTGGTATTAATATCAGTAGAACCATATCAACTGCTGCAATGACTCATGTGGTCAACGGAAGTACGAAGTTTGATTTTTGTTTATCTTGCAATTTGCTTATGCCTTCAAAATTCTTATTATTTTTAAGGAAAACAACAAAACTACCAAATGTCCTCATTTTGAGATACTTGAACAACAGCCTTATCCAGAAAGAAAACTTGCTACAACATATCATGCATCGTCGAAAAGATGTTAATGTAAGCAAAATCTGTTTTTGTATGGCTGTTGTTCACAGTTAGTTTTACCCAAAACTATTTTAAAAATATCACTATTTGAAATTTAATATATTAATGTTGGCATGATAATGACGCCACATTAGTACTGACATCTCACGTAAGATTTCCGTACGAAAGTGATCAAAATATATCATCCTATTTCTTTATTAATAAAATTAAAATAAATCTTGTAAGGACTCTTTTTTGCAATATCAGAGGCGTACTTATGGCTTTGTATTCTCAATCATCACACATATATTTTCACTACAGAAACGCCAATGATCTTAGTCCATACAGTATAAAGCAGGATCAGAATAAAATAACGAAGACGCGTTGCGGGTATCAGACGAAGAAGATGTTTTCGGCACCGACCATTCGTCTTTTGTATAGAGAGTGGGTGGATTTTTTTTCACATGACAAACATTTTTTTCAATACATTTACAGAACAAACATTTTAAATGTCTATGTTGTTTTTTTTTTTTAAATTTTTTTACTAATTTTCAATAGAAACAAAGTATGTGTTCCTACACTCTCCTTCTTGTAAGAAATTACTTTTATAACAAATTAAGAATCAAACAATTTATTAAAAAAAAATGCCTCAAAAATGGATGCGCAGGGCTTAAAGCATGGTACTGAAAGTGTTGTCAATACTACGTTCGAGGTGGTTAATTCTTTATACAGTTGCACCAATTAAAACAAACAGAGGAATACTACAGTTTTAAATTAAATATAGCTACACAGCATGGGCTACTTGCATTTTTTTTTATTTCATGTTGTTCAGTCTTTAATTTTTTATTTCATGTTGTTCAGTCTTTAGTTTTTTATTTCATGTTGTTCAGTCTTTAGTTTTTTATGTAGTGTTGTTCAGTCTTTAGTTTTTTATGTAGTGTTTTGTAGATTATTGTTTGTCTTTTCGTCGTTTTTTCTATGTTTTTTTTCAGTTTTTCTTTGTTTTATTCTCCCTTTGGTATCTTCTGCCTCATTTTTCACAAACTATAATGATTTCACAATTTATTGATTTTTATTATAAAACAAGGAATGCAAACTTGATTACAACTATAGTTATTTACATCCCATGCTTTGGTCTCTTGTTGGATAGTGTCTCATGGAAAATCGTACCACATACCCTCATTTTCATATTGATAGTTTTTCGACTTTCACTGAGATATATAGGGGACATAACTTCAAAGAAATGGTTCAATGCCATCTCAGCTAAACAATCAAATGCATCTTTGTTAAGATAACAAAGCTAATGATTTCGTATGAAGTGGGCACAATTTTCGAGAGGGTTGTATAACAATTTCAATATACTAAATGACCAAAGGAGAAATGAAGTAGCATACATAAGAGAAGCTGCATCACGAATAAAACCCCATAACCGTTAAGTAGAAAAGCGTACACCTGAAGCACGGGAAACTTTTTTACGGCATCCAAGCAGCACAAGAGGCAAACTGTTAATATAATGGAAAAGAAAAGATCACTGCGCGCACATGAAAACACCGAAAGCAAACTTATACAAGGATTAATTTATGATTTCAAAACTAATTTATTTGTCGATAGATCGCTTCTTGATTATTATTCCCGGTTTTTATTCTCGATGTAGTCGATGTTTTGGCACTAAATAGTTAAATTATTTTCCTGATGTTCTTCTATGTTTTTTATTTATCTATTTGTTTTTAACTTATAGCAATATTTCGACTTCAATCTGACAATTTTTAACCTATTTGTGTTGTCCTCCACTAACCATGAGACATGCTACTACTATTTAAATGAGTTTGCGATTCGTTATTAAAATAAATACCATTCTTATTTTTAGGAGCACATCTGAATTCTTAGTAGGCTAACAACACGCGTTCAATTTGTAAATTAATTGAGTTCATGTATATCGTAGTTGCAGGATAAATTGCAATTTAAAATGCATCAAACACAGTAAAAATTGGTATTGTACAAACTACACAAGCCATTAAAGAGTCAGATCAATTGCTTCATTGAAAATCACAATATCTTCAAAAGCTTGTTTAAGAAACAATTTTTAATTACAGTCATATAGATTTCTCATTTACATACATAGGTAATCTTGTTCTACCATGACATTCATAGTTTGTCAAACGGAATCGATATGAAACTTTAAAGCTACAATGATGAAAGAAAGCTGACAGAAAAAATATGAAATCGTTTCTTTTCCAACTTGAAATAAAGTTGATTTTGACACAAATTCGAATCTGCCCTTCGTTTCCTCTCGTATAAATTACAATTGTAGCAACTTATAAAAAATAATCAATGCACATAAGACTCTGAAATTTAGAACTGCAATGTTATAAAGGAAACTACTCAATACGCAGAAATGGTAAAATCCATCCTTTGCTATGACAAACCCCTAAAAATAGATGCACAACGAAGAAGTACTAGATTTTATTTAATTCCGATTTATTTTAAGCATATTTTTTTAACAAAATAAGGGTTCCCAAGAACTTAATATTTATCGCTACGGAACTTAATATTTTTCACTATAATTATATCTTACATTTATCACCAGGAATCTACATTTATCTCCAGTGACCTTCTATTATCACTAAAGATCTTACATGTATCATCGGTGATCTTACATTGATCAACAGAAATTTACAGTTATCACCAGTGACCTGGTATCTTACATTGCTAAAAAAGGATCTCAAATTTAGCACCAGGGATCGCACTTTTATCACAAGGAATAACATTTAACCACCGGAACCTTATACTGATTACCAATTATTTGTATTTATCAATAGGAATCTTATCTTTATAACATTAACCACCGCGGATATTACATTTATCGCCGATGATATTACATGTATCGCCGATGATATTACATTTATCGCCGATGATATTACATTTATCACCACGGATATTACAATTATCTCTTGGAATCCACGGTTATCACCAGGAACCTTATATTTACAACTACGTATACGGATCTTACATTCATCACAACGAAGGTCCCTATTTTTCATAAAAAAAAAACTTACTAATAATATTCAATTATTTGTTAGGTATATTTTTTTTTTATAAAGAACATGGGACAAACAACGGTGAATATGAGGAGATGTGGTGTGTGTGTAGGGGGTAGCAATCTAACGACACAAAAACATAATGACTTCTCAGCACAGTTTTTTTTCTCTTCTTATATTATATGATATGAGAAACCTTTCATACCAGATAGTATACTGGAATTATTTTCTAGTTTTCATCTGTAACAGTTAATTAAAAAAAAAACTTTGTTCTTTAACCAATAACAATGAGAGAAGAAATTAGTTAGAATGAATTGATAAGATAGGACACCATCATAGATACGACCATAATAAAGTACATATCTTGTAATAAATAAAAACAATGACAAAATCAGTATTTATAGTCACGGTATGTTAACATGACAAGTATTCATCATATTTTTTGTCTTTCATCTGCACGAATAAAAAAGTCGCTTAAAATGCAATTTTGGCATTAAATAACGGAGAGCTGCTCTAAATCTGCCACATATAGTCATTACAAACAATTTTACTTAATGTTTTGTATTCTTGTCTTTAATTATTATATTGCTGAGGTAAATAACAAAAAAAAATATATTTTTTTCATTATAGAAAACTGTTTTGAAGCATTATGTGTTGCCTTGTATACATTCAATTCGTAATCATTCTTTTCCTGATAAATAAAAACGATAGAAAAGTATAAACTTACCTGAAATTGAGTTGGAGATAACATGATCAATGATACATGCTATCACACCTGAAAATTAACAGTACTGCAGTCTTATTTGTCGCAGTATTATTTTATTGGATAGGCATTAAAACATATCACTACATAGAACGCGGACCTAATCGGAAACACCCGCTGATATTCAATTAGTAACTGTGCGACTTATATTTCAAACTTAATCAACGCTTGATAATAATTGTAGAAAAGCAACATCATCTATCATGGAAAAGAATGAATCAAAGTCAAAAATGACAATTATCAATCAATAAAACTGAAGACTTTTGTTATTAGCCGGTAGTTTTAACAATAAATATCTTAAATTTGTGTTGTGGTGATGGTTTTAAACGGAAGTCAAATGACTTAAATTAATGGTAATCCTAATTTCACAACAATCAGCCAGGTTTCTTAAATGTGCTTTTGCATGTTTTCTGTTCCAGATGGAAAAACTTATTGTAAAAATAGCAGTAGAAATGAAATTTTGATGAATATTGTTTATCGGATACAATAAAGTGTCATACAAGCAACATGAAATATATATCTAAATCACATTGAGTCTTGTCAGCTAAAAAAGCGAGAGAAAAATTACAGTTGTATATGTTGACTAAATCAATGGAATGTTGCATGAACATAGGAGAAACATGTCTGTCTGAAATGCAAACTTCGAAATTATTGTTTTGACACCTGATAACTTGATTGATTGATTTCACTTTAAAGTTGATTCTTCAAGATTTCCTACACCTTGGTCATATGGAATAGAGGTAAAAGATTCATTATAAAATGCAATTTATTACAGCTTGAGCTTGTTCTCACAGGTAAGTATACTAATCATACTTACCAGGCTTTAAATTGTGTACGCCAGACGCGCGTTTCGTCTACATGAGACTCACCATATCGCTCGAATAAAAAAAGTTAAAAAGGCCTAATAAAGTACGAAGTCGAAGAGCATTGGGAACCCGAAATTCTGAAAGGTTTTTGCTAAAAACAGCTACGGTAATCTATTCATTGGGTAAAAATAAAATCCATAGTATTGGGAAAATTCAAAGTTAATTCTCGAGGGTATAATCAACTCAGAAATCGGTTTTTTGTTTATCGATATGAGCCTTGTCAATACTCCTGCTGGCGGGCTGTTTTTATACCCGCGTGTATCATCAACTCAGTAGTCAGTGTTTCTCTTATCGATATGATTTCAAAATAGCATATTTTTTTTGAAATCTTCGTTGATAAATAAAGAAATTGTAAAGAAACTTGGGTTCCAACTCCCTCAGTCAAAGTTGATCTTTGATGGATTTGGCTATTCTTTTGGGATCCTTTTTGGTCATATAAATCTTCAAATGTAAGTACTTATACATCTTTAGCTTTCAAATTTTGAGTGTGAGCGTTCCTAATGAAGGTAAATAAAAACAAACGCTGCGTAACAAAATTGATAGAAACACTCTGAATTCACTACCAAGAAAGAAAAAAAAATAAAATTCAAGAACAAAGTTGCACAAGTAAGTACCCTATACACATAACTTTTATGTCATGTCTGGTTTTAATTCGTTCATCATTCTCAAAAAGACCTTTAAAGACCAGAACATTCATGTAAAGTAACCTCTGTGGACTCGGGGAAAAATATACCAATTTACAAGATAAAAAGGATGTTGCATGCAAATGCTGATATCCGTTTCTCAGCATTTGCATGCAACAAATCCAATGTTTGCCAAGACATGTTTCTCAAAAAGTATTGTTTAGCCAGATGAGTAATGAGGATCCCTGTGCTTCAAGTTTTATATTTTCACGACTTTTCTGACATGTTATAACGACTTAGCTGACTCGTTAACACGGCTAAGCTTACCACGTCTTAATAAATCGTAATTACGACTAAGCTTACTCGTTATCACGACTTAAGTAAATCTGTTATACCACGTGGCGGTCTAGTCGTAATAACGAGTTAGATTATTCGTTATAATGAGTTAGATAATTCGTTATAATGTATGGAACGCCATGACTGCCTTATGCCGTTGATGATCATCATTATATGCAGTGGTAGTGGTCACAGCATTATATGCAGTCGTGAAAGCATTATATGCAGTGGTCAAAACATTATATGCAGTGGTTACAACATTATACGTGTTTTGTTGGTGAAGGTGATGATCAGTGATAGTGATGATGATGATTGATGATAGTGATGGTGTAGGTTCAAATTCGGTAAACTTCGTAATTTTTTTTATCGGAAATTGCCGAATCCAGTCATAATTGATAATGCCCCGCAAACAAAATGAAACAGTAATTGAAGTCATATAATTTAGGCAATTCGATTGAAAACTTTATCAGAGAAAAAATAACGCCTGCTATTGTCTGCAAATTGGACAGACATAATTTTATAAATTTAGGGGTAGTTAATTCCGAGGAAATGATGAAACTAAGAGTTGACTGCATTAACTAGTTCTGTTCGTCTTAAGAAATACGCACGGCATAATGTAAGTAAAATAATGATTAACAAAAAAGAAATGTCAAAGGACAGTTTGTATACTATCTGGCTCGAGTTCATTTCCTACTGAAGAACTATTGCTAGGTGCCACTTTTATAGTCGATATTCAGTTTAAATGGCATCAATACATTTTGAATAAAATAGTCAGCTGTCTTTAAGACCTTAATCCCATATCTCGCCAGCTTACATATGTCATGATAGAGCCATTATTTGGCTTTGATTTTCAGAATTATGCATTTTTACATGATTTAGTAGCTAACAGATATGAAAAATGCAGTTTAAAGCCTTTCAATGTAGGTGTTTAATATAACTTTCCATCAATTGTATACAACTTTTGCAAGCTTTTTAGCACGTAAAGTAGTTTGTCTACTAAATATGAGCAGCAGCCTTAACCAAAGAGATATATAATCATATATGAAGGCATCGATCATATTTCACAACTTCAGATAAACATCTTTTTTGGTTATAGTTGATGCTCATATCAAAATATAAACTTTTATTGGGAAAATTTATCCTTTTTCAGACCAAGTTTAATGTTATTTATAGTTATCATCTCTTTATAATCCCTTCGGAAAACGGTTTTGGGAGTGGATATTGCGTTTACTACGTTTGTTTGTCCGTCTATCACGGTTAATATAAAAATAAGGAGATGTGGTATGATTGCCAATGAGACAACTATCCACGAGTTCAAATGAAGTGGATGTAAGCAATTATAGGCAACCGTACGGCCTTCAACAATGAGAAAAACCAATACCGTATAGTCGGCTATTAAACGCCTTGACTTGAAAAATATGAAACAATTCAATTGTGAAAACTTACGGCCTAAGTTTTGCGTTTTAAGGCTAAGATCGGAACAAACTGCGAGTCAAAGAGGAATGATTTACTTTTAGTGCGCACATCTTGAATAGTAACGAATGTCCATGAAAAAATTGTGTCACCTCGACCTAATTTAATTCTGGTTAAGTTTTGCATTAAAATACAAAATATCATCAACTACAAGTCGTAGAGGAATGATATCTTTTAGATCGCAAATCTGTGATAACAACAAAGGACCTTGAAAAAAAGTTGGTCACCTCGACCTATATTTCTCGCATGAATGATTTTGATTAAAATTTGTGTTAAGGTCCAGATGAAATCAACTACAAGTAAAAGAGGAATAATATTTGTTACTGAGCACTTCTTTGATATCAATGAAGGTCCGCACAAAAATTTTGTCCCCTCAACACTAGGCTAGCGTTTTAAAATTAAATACACTCTACAAAAAAAAAAAAAAAAAAAAAAAAAACTCGCCCCTCCTTATTATGTCTCTTAAAGGAGAGCTATTGTTTTACTGTGAATTCTTCTCGTTGTTGTTATTGGCGTTCTAATTCTTCTCACATACAAGCTTGTCTTGTTTCTATAGTCTGGGGATTTCAGTTATTTTTGCTAACAAAATGTTTTCCCTATCCCATGTTAGCATCCTTGTCAGAAGTTGCAACTTGAAAATTTCATATCTGAATATGTTTCGTTATATGAAAAATTTCTTTTGATGGTAGATCTTGATTGTTTCTGTGGGGCTTCTTTCTCCTGCATATGTTTCACTCACGGGGTAAAAATCGGAATTGGATTTTTATATTTTGCATAGTCCGAATTATATACTTAAAAAAGATTTTCATTCATAAAATAGTTATTTTGCACTACAAATTGCTGTTCCATGCCTTTTTAAAACAATATTGCAAATCTAATATGTTTTATTAAAATTCCATTTCGTCGCTGACCAACATAAATTAATTGTTTCCGAAATGCAATACATAATTTACTTCTGACAGATATTTGGTTCTCCTTGAAAAATAATGGAACATGATATATCTATAAATTGCAGTCCCGAGTAATCTGAAGATGTTTATTTGGGATTAAATGTTCAGAAATGCACAATTATACATGGTTTTAAATACTTAAAGTATAAACATATTAAGTTGTGATACTAATAATTAAAATACGATAAAATGACATTAAAAATGCCCCTGACGTGGAATAAATTCTTGGTAAATTGGTCCTTCTTTCTAATTTCTTTATTTCAATTCAGAGTTTTATATATTGTATAGATAGCTGTCTATTGTTACCGACTGTATGACTCTAGTGTTGTACGGTTGTCTTTGTCGTTGGATTGCTGCCTCATTAACGTGTATCCATATCTCCTTTTTTCATATGAATATGATAGGAATGAGACATCGTACATAGATTGAGCGGATCGACGTGTTTCATGTACGCAAAATATTTCTGTCCAAGTGCAGAATCTGCTGTCTGTGGTTGGCCGTTTGTCATTTATCCATGTTCGTTTGGTTTTTTTTTATTTGTTTTAGTTCATTTTCTGCGACGGGATGCTTTATCCTTTGTTGTTCCTTTACATAAGCCATTGTGATATGAATACAATATTAAAAAAAAAATATTTGTACATTTGGACAGCATTATACGAAAAAAAAAACTTTCACTTCAGAGAAAATAAAAAAAAAAGATCAAAGTGGGAACAAATGATCAAATCATATAAGACATCGAAAAGAGGAGACTCCCAGTAATATTTTTGGTGTACAGTTATGGCACCACATGAATTGAGGAACGGACCTCGATCACAGGTTCCCGGTGGACGTCGATCTGAGTCTTATATATACTAGTCAACAAAAGTAACGATACACAAGTTTGAAGTCCAATTTATCATACAATGAATAAATAGGGAAAACTGTTAAATTATCCAATGCAAAACATTCATTTGCACAGCAAATGCATATGATTAAAAGAATCTGACCAAATTGGAAAGGGAGAAAATACCGTAGTATTGCACATAGGGGTCAAATTTATGTTGCGGAAAATGATGACAAAAGTCGGCACTTAATTTCGAAGATGAGAATTAAGTATTCAAATATCTGCAAAGGCATTCAAAATTTTAAGCAGACCATGTTTAAGTTCAAAGTCTTAAGTTCTAATATCGATTTTTGAATTTTTGGGTGAAAATACGATTATTGAAATAACAAAAATTGCAACAAACAAACAAAAATCGAATATTTGCCTTAAATCAATGGTTTTGATAAGAAAATAACCCTCTGTATATATTAGACCAATTGGGCAATTATCAACTTTGATACAGTGTATCCAATTTCATTATATAAGGAAAATACATTGCCATGTATCGTTTCTTTTGTTGACTAGTATATATATGAAATACGGCACTGAATATTGCATACTAAATACTTTAAGTGTCATATAGCTTTTGGTTGTTCAATATGAAATGAACTCGAGACATACAGTATATAAATGCCATTCAATGTCTCATTATTATCATTCATTATTGCTGAATTACATAATGCCGTGCGTATTTCTTAAGATAAATAGAACTTTAATTGATGCATTCAATTTTTAGTTTCATCATTTCCTTGGAATGAACTACCCCTAAATGGATAAAATAATGTCTGTCCAATTTGCAGACAATAGCAGGTGTTATTTTTCTCTGATAAAGATTTCAATCGAATTGCCAAAATTACATGACTTCAATAAAAACGAAATTACATCCTGACACTAACCTGCTTCCGTATTCATTTATGTATCTTTCTTTTAAAGAAATTTAAGATGGATACTTCATTTCCTCGCAACCTTTGAGGCTGTGGCTAATTTACACTGTTAATCCACTCACCTGTTTTTTTTTTCTATAAGCATTTGTACTATTAATCCTCCTGTTTATTGATCGTATACTTATTATTTTGTTCGTGAATATGCTTTTTAAAGGGACTAAGGTGGAATGTGTCTGTTAAATATTTTCTGCTTTGACAATTGAAGATGACTTACAGAAAATTGCACAAACATTACGAAATACAATACATATGATCGTATTAAGAATGTATGACAACTTTAAATTACTTTTTATTGTATCAGTTATTTTGTTTACGGTCATGGTTTGGTGGGAACATAAAAAAGCCCCGATCCGGTTTCATTAAATAGTAAAATGGTATATACTTCCCTGTTAAATATAATTTTACACATTAAACAGGAATAGCATATATACAAAATGGTCACAGTAAGTTTGACATTTTCTTTGCATGTTACAATAAAAGTAGCGATATGTAAAATGTCCCAAACTGTTTTAATTTGCAAATGTAAGTACCAAGTTCAATGTTTTCCTTGTTGATTAAATATAAAACATAACAAAAAACTTGCCTATCTAACTAGTTATCAATTACTTAAAATATATTCCTCAAATCATATCCGTAAATTCGGTAAAAATCTTGCTCCAAACTGAATACGGATGCTCATTGCCTCGAAAAGAGATGAGGCTGCATCTGCTGAAAAATTGAAACAATCAGCATTTGTGTTAAAACTCGGATTGTTAGAAATTTTTGACACAACATTTTATTTGAAAATGCATACTTTATTTTAGGAGCCACACCTTTACTTAAATGTCAGAGCTATTGGTATCCATAATTCTTCATAATAAAAGATCGAATTGAAAATGTTGATACTTAGCATCAGCTGCGTTCTATAACTTTATTTTTCATAAAGTCTAGATATTTTGTAATTAATATGTCGTGCAAGATGATTATTCATCTATGGTCGATGTATCACACAAGATAGTATTATATCTTATTTACTAAGGACGATTGTACTTCAGTCTATAGACAAAACAATTGTTACATACAAAAGTTACAGCTCGTTATTGTAATCGATGAACTCGACTAAAACTAAGGATTTTACGTATCTGCGATCTGTATTAAACCTTTCGGTATTAAAACATGTGTATTAACATGATTAAGGAAGTGATTTCATAAAATTATTGTAATATCTATAACATATAAGTTTCGCTGTTTAACACACGTACGCCATTTGTTTCTGTGCTTTCTTACAATATGGTTAAATGATATCAACACTCGAAACTGTAATCCGAGCTTAATATATAAAAATTAGGAGATGTTGTATGATTGCCAATGAGACAACTATCCACCAGAGTTTAAATGAGGATGGATGTAAGCAATTATAGGCAACCGGACGGCCTTCAACAATGAGAACAACCAATACCGTATAGTCGGCTATTAAAGGCCTTGACTTGAAAAATTTGAAGCAATTTATTCAGTTCAGTTTATTACTTGTCCCCCCAAATGTTTATGACAATGTCCATGCTTTTACTATGGGAGCCCCTGAAGTCATCTGGATAAAAACTTAAAAAGGAATTTCACAGTATCATTAACCAAAAAATTTCTATGGAAGTTGTTTTTATGCGAAATCCATGCATTGGTTAAATATGACTTTAGATACAGAGGATGTAATATCAAACCCCTTTATTTTTTTTTTCATTGTAAATCCCCAAACGTACCTTAATTACTGAAGATTTTCTGACTGTTTCGTTGAAATTGAAAATAGTTTAGATTCCAATACAGAACTTCTGAAACCAGTACCAAAGGATCAAAACATCGCCCTCCGTCGAAAATAAATTGGAAAGAGTGCTGTAAGGTCAAGATAGATTCTTTCAACCCATTGTAAATTATAGAGTAAACGGTAGAAATCTAATACGCTACTTTTTAGTCTTTATGTGTCTGTACCAAGTCAGGAGCGTGTAATTCAGTGGTTGTCGTTGGTTCATGTCTGTCATATATGTTTATAATTGTAAATTGTATTGTTACAAGTTATGCCATTAGCAGTCTCGTTTAAATAGTTCGTGTAGGGGCCTTTTATAGATGACTAAACGGTATGGTGTTTTATCATTGTTAAAGACTTTTAGTATAATTACTTATATCTTCGTCGTTGGAACTCTGTTGGATAGTTGTCTCATTGGCAATCATGCCAGTCTCCTTATTTTGATATTTTATGTTTTAGTAGAATTTGCAAACCGTCGAACGACCAACCGAACGATCATAGTAAACGCAGCTACTCTAAACGGGATGTATATTAATTGAAGTTTTTCCTTTTCGAGTGATCTACTTTAACGGTTTTCAAACACATCACATTACAGTGTTTTATTTTAATGTATTAGCTTTTATGTGTTCGATCTACAAAATACTAGTAAATCAGATATTCAAAAAATACATAAATAGCTAACATTATAACTTTGTGTTCATTTTTATATTTACATGCTTTTAATTTTTTCAACAGTTTTATTTTTTATATCAATAACATGAGATGCAGGGTACATATATATATATCAATAAGAAGATATGGTTTGATTGCCAATGAGACCAAATGACTTAGAAGTTAACAGATATAGCTCCCCGTACGGCCTTCAGCAATGACAAACCTAATACCGCATAGTAAGCTGATAAGGCTGGGTATTCGCTGATTAGACAGCAAACATGAATAGATTCAGCGTATACTATCATCACCAAATTCTCCAAATAACAAAAACCATTAAGATATGGCATACGGCAACCAACAGACAAAGGAACATGTGGCGGCCTTGAAGTTATTTATTACATCTCTCCCGCAACCCCTGGCAATATAGATCGCAGGAAATGTAAAAGTGCGAAAAACGTGACCTTGTGCAATCCGAAAATATAGGTATCGAGAGATTGTAGTACCGTGAATGTGCATAGTATGTGTATAACAATAATATTTAGTATGGTTTTAATTTACTGATAGCAAAATCAATATGTATACCAATAAAAACAAAATTTAAAGATTGTGTTGAACTGGTAACCTTTTAGAAAAAGTCATATAAAACTTCAAATTAAAAAAAAAAGTTGAACAGTTTTATATATAAATAAGAAGATGTGGTATTAGTGCCAATGGCACAACTCTCCATCCAAGTCACAATGTATAAAAAGTAAACAATTATAGGTCAAAGTACGACCTTCAACACGGAGCCTTGGCTCACACCGAACAGCAAGCTATAAAGGGTCCCAAAATGACTAGTGTAAATTAATTCAAACAGGAAAACCAACGGTCTAATCTATATAAAAAAATGAGAAACGAGAAACACTTATGAACAACACCAACAAATGACAACCACTGAACAACAGACTCCTGACTTAGGACAGGTCCATACAAATGTTTACCTGAATGGCTAAGTTTTAAACAAGTGTACGTGAACTTTTTTGTAAAAGAAAATCTTTTATATTATCAAAATCTTCATAAATGTACTGTTATTGAATTATTGTCTTCCAGCACAGTAATTTGCTGATATTTTCCCTTACTACAAGACCTCTCGATTTCTTTGACCAATGTCGCGATCCGGTAGACTTCGGCAACAAACTTAGTTTAGTATATATGCATGCATTGGTTCAATACTTTCGATAACATTAGAATTACAAGAAACTCGTTTCATATGACTTTAAAGGATTGATAATTTTACCCGGATCGTATCTAAATTTCCGCGCTCGGTAAACAACATCACCGTAAAAATTAGGACGTGCTGTTCCGTTTGAAATAAGCTTTCTTCAGGTACAGTCAAACTTCCAAACCAAATCCTTATATCTATGGAAGACTTTAGTAAAGGTTTTATGTAATTTGTGGTAACGAAATTCCTGACTTAATAATTTACCAGTAATACTTAGATTACGCTCATTGAAATCCAAAACGTCACTACAAGCACGGGCATAGCGAACAAGTTGGGATATATAAACACCGTAAAACGCTGCCAACGGAACACCATCGACCAAAAAAGGAAAATTAACATGAGGAAAGAAAAGTTTCCCTTTTGCCGTAAATTTTTGTGTAGAGTTTCTCGTGTAAAACTGAAAATAATGAATACATGTATAATGAAGTGGAAACAATTAATATACATGAACAAATTCAATTGCAGATTACTGGTTTTAAAAATGCGACGTTTCAAGATGAAGAGAGCCAGCGTGTACATGAGACGGGTAAAGTTAGATATAATTAGATACAACACCAAAGTTACAAAGCCAGAGCGTTAAAACGTTTTATAATCTGTTTAAAATAGTGCTGGGTTAGTTTGCTTAGAATTATCTCTTAGTACTTTGTCATGTTCTAATTTGTTGTTTCTGTTGATTCTGTTATAATTACTGATTTAATTTTTTAAAAGGAGGGAACGGAGTAAGTATCCCGGTATGTTTGATTTATCCGCCAAGTCTCGACAGACGGACACATTAAATATGTTAAATAGTTTCAGTTTATTACTTGAAATATCCACCTTGTATGACCCTAACTCCTCCAAGTCCTTTATCGATTGTCTCTTATTTTGTTGGATAATCTACTGCTAATGGCGCCATTTTAATTTTTGTTTAAAGAGTTGTTGCCTTTAATCGTTCAAATTACTTATTACATGCTACATCAATCTTTAAAGCCCCAACTGTTGCAAATCAACTGTCCTACCTCCATGACAAATATGTTGTTGTCCCTTCAGATAAAGCCCCAAACAACATCGTTTTTTGTGTGTAAATCACATTACGTAAACTGCTTGATAAATAAATTAAGTATTGACAGTTCACTTGGAAACTCAACATATACCCCCACGACACTTACCAACGAGGAAATCCTGGATAATCATAGGTCTGTTCTATGTTCCTTTGAAATTTTAACCAAAGAAGAAGAACTGGATCTTCCTTCATTGTATTGGATACATAAACTGCATTGGTGTCCTTACAAACAACGTTATATTGATGGGTCTTACAAGTACTCCACCAAACCTCTTTTCTCAATTATTAACATCAATTAGAAATCATCAATCAAAGCCGGGCTTCAACGTTATTATGAAACTACCTATTCTAGAGGTGATGTGAATCAGATGTGGATATTGAAACATTTCATAGATCTTTTAGAGTACATACAATCTAAGACTCTTTCATCTTGCAATAGTGATAAAACATTTGACTTTTCTACACTTTATACAAGTATTCCCCATTCCAAACTAAAAGACAAATTAAAAGAGTTGGTCCCTCTTTGTTTCATAAAAAAGGATGACCAACGTATATTCAAGTATTTTGTCTTAGAGAGGGATAAATCACTCTAATTCAAACAAAAACTTCTCTGAAACTGACACTAATAAGATACTTGATTTCTTGATTGACAACATATTTGTTTGAAGGACGTGTTTTTCAACAAATAATCGGCATTGCCATTGGAACCAACTGGGCTTCTCTTCCTGTTGATTGTTCCTTTATTCATATGAGACTAACTTCATTTTTTAGGAAGCTGAGAAAGATAAGAAGTTAGCAGTATCCTTCAATTTCTCTCTCCGGTATATAGATGATGTTCTCTATTGAATAATTCAAAATTTGGTGACTATGTTGAACGCACTTCTCCGGTATATAGATGATGTTCTCTCACTAAATAATTCAAAATGGGTGACTATGTTGAACGAATCTATCCCATCGAACTTGAGATAAAGAATACAACAGATTCAGTCAAGTCTGCCTCATATCTTGACTTACTTAAAAATTGACAATGAGGGTCAGTTGGAAACAAAACTTTAAGACAAAAGAGATTATTTCAGCTTTCCAATTATAAACTTTTCATGTCTATGTAGCAACATGCAAGCAGCACCTGCATACGGAGTATATGTCTCCCAGTTGATACGATATTTCAGGGCTTGTATTTCCTATCATGATTTCATTACTAGAGGGTTGATGCTCACAAAGAATCATTTAATTTGTTAAACCAAGAGTTCCAGGTGGTGAAGTTGCAATCATCCCTTCGTAAAGTTTACGGACGCCATCACGAGTTGGTTGACCGTTATGAAATATCTGTTTCGCAGATGACGACAGATATGTTCCAACTGTCGTAACTACAATCCCGTCCTCTTTTCCCCGAATATGACCTAGCAAATTAGACTTGACCGGTTTTGTACTTACATGAGCAACACGACGGATGCCACATGTGTAGCAAGATCTGCTTACCCTTCTGAAGAACCTGAGATCACCCTCAGTTTTTGGATGGGTTCGTGTTGCTCAATCTTTAGTTTCTATGTTGAGTTTTGTTTATTGTTGTTTATCTGTTTGTCTTTTTCTTTTTTAGCCATGGCGTTGTCAATTTATTCTCGACTTATGAGTTTGAATATCTTTGGTATCTTTCGCCTCTCTTTTACGCAATGCCTTAATTATAAAGTCATTTCCTTTTTGATACTTTATCCAATAGCTCTTATATATGCTTAAATGTTTGATATTGATGTGTAATGAGTTTATATGATGAACTCCGTCATTTCAACATAATGTACAATATTTGGAGTTGAACTTTACAAGAAAAGAAATTGATTTGAAATCGAATTGAACTTATTACCCACAAAAAAGACTGCTTCGAACACAAAGTTTTTGTATATAATTCAAAGTATCGCTAAAATTTGTTCTTCACCTTCGTCTTTGATTTAGATTTTTAAATGTTTTGATTCGAGCGTCACTAATGAGTCTTAGGTAGACTAAACGCGCGTCCGACATACCAAATTAGCATGGTATCTTTGATGAGTTATTTACATTACGATGTATATTCGAAATCATCTTAGCAAAAACTTGGCATAGGATTAAAAAATGATTCTCCAGATAGTCTATGAGTTTGGAAAAAAGTTTTGCTTTTCAAAGTTGGCAAATACAAATTGTGGAGACAGTCAAAAGTAAAAATATATGCACCAGAAACCTAGTCAAAAGATCAATCGTTTCCTACGTCAAAACTTTTTGTAATCTATTCTCATTATCAGGAACAATATTTACAGTTACAGGACGGACAAAAAAGTAGTTATACACATACAATTCTTCAATGATATTGCATTTTGATAATAAATTGTGTAAGAATTCATAAACACAATCATAAATCATAGTTTATAGTTGTTTAAAATCAAATTAAATATCCTATCTGCTACCAGTTGTGTTCACCGTGTTAACTAATAAGGCAAAACTTCAATATCAAAATCATTTTTTGCGATTCGAACTTTCATTTTTGAGAACTAATGTACCGCACAGTAATCAATTATTAACAAAAGAACTTTCATTTTGTCAACTAATGTACCGTACAATAATAAATGTATGTAGCAACATTCTATCATCGCCTGCATATGGAGTACTAGTATATATCTCTCAGTTGATACAATGTTCCAGAGCGTGCGTTTCCTATCACGAATTCCTTGATAGAAAGTTGCTACCTACAAGGAAGCTATTGAAACAAGGGTTCCTAGTGGATTGTTGAAGTCATCACTTTGAAAGTTTAACGGACGCCATAATGCACTGAATTACCGTTATGGAATATATGTGTCACAGATGTACGCAATGCATGAAATGAAGTAGATCGTAACGAATACTAGCTCGGACGTCGCCCAGTACAAAAAGGTCCGACAGAGGCGTGTCTAAGGACACGATGTCGTCTGAAATAGTTGATGTCCATTCATCGCCAGACATAACAAATTACTAGGACATCATGTCAAATCAGATCAACAACTGCGAAAAATGTAACATTTGGTAACAGGTACTCTTTTTACTCGTAATCTAACTTTATAATCTTACTTCACCAGGAGTTACGATGACCTGAACTGCAAATTAACTACTGTAAATTCAGAAATTATTGCGTGCATTTATTATTGCGATTTTGTCATTTTAGACTAAAATGCGGTTTTAATTTTTGCGATATTGAGAAAAATCCTGTTTAATTCATATAAAAACTTTCAAAATGCGTGTTTAAATTATTGCGATTATAACCCTGTCGCATTTTTCGCAATAATAAAAACATCGCAGTAATTTCTGAATTTACAGTAGTCGTCTTTACTGATTAGAGTGTATCCTATGGAGATTGGTATGTCGATGAAACGAAAAGAAGGCTAAACAAACGAAAGTTAGGCCATAGATCAGACATTAATAACAATGCAAATGGCATTGCTTATCAACATTTTAATCAGCTGGATCATTCAATTTTGTCTATTGATTTGCATTATCGAAAAAATATACATAACATGACTTGCAATTCTAATCATGCTACACATCTCCATAGACAAAAGGATTCGAAAATTGAGAACAACTAGACCTAAATGACCAAATTGAACTATATGTATTTTATGTAGTCCTTACTGCAGTCCGGTGAGTGTGATGCATATTTTCAACTCTGCTTCTCAACGTTGAAACAACCATGGTCATAGTCATTATACACTTACTCTTCACGATGCCTTTTTGCCATATAAACAGAAGCCGTTTGATATTCATCACATCCGTAAGTATCTATAACCACTATCCCTTTCGAAATTTTATTCTCCGTACAACATTGGAAACATCTGTTACACCCCCTTTCAAACAAATACAAACTGACAGCTACCATCTATGATATTGCCCATCATGTACTTTTCAAACCGGATGGCATTGGAAAAGATATCACAGTGAAACGATCCTGCTACACTAGTGACACCCGTCATGTTACTCATGGTAAGTGCAAATAAGGTGATGAGTCTCATTCGGTGATGTCACAATCGAGGAAAAGACGAATGAATTGTGGCTACGACATTTGGAACATATCCATGGTCATCTGTGACACATATATTCCATAACCGTCAATAAACTTGTGATGACGTCCGTAAAACTTTCGAATTGTTGACTACAACTTTATAACTTGGAACCCTTGTTTAAATAGCTTCCTTGGGATTAGCAACACATTATGATACTGCTCATCAAAGTAAGAAGGTATTGACAAATTACTTGCAAACTCAACATATACTCCAGTGACACTTACCAAAAAGTAAAATAACAAAAATACTGAACTCCAAGGAAAATCCAAAACGGAAATTCCCTTATCAAAAATGCAAAATCAAAAACTGAAACACACCAAAAGAGGAAATTCGGAACAATCATAGGTCTGATCTATTTTCGTTTGGAATTTCAACAAGAGATGAAAAAGTGGATCTTCCTTCAATGTATGGATACAAAATGTTCTTAGCCGTCTTTACAGACAACCTTTTAATTGCTGTCTGCCAAATGCTTCACGATACTCCTTTCAAAATAAATAACTTCTATCTTATCAGCAATCAAGTCTAACATCCGTATTTACACTTTAGGAAGTTTCCCGTTCATATGTAATCCGTTCGCCACGTTAGATCTGGAGAACTTTATATTGTATATTAATATATATACACTATAGAAAACGTGCCAGCCAAAATACCGAAATACCATAAATCGGAATTCATGACATGAAAGACTAATTTTAATACGATAAATTCACCAATAAAATTATCATTATTATTCTTGCGCCTAACAATGGACAAGTTGTGACCGAGAAGACAGTTAGATCGTTGATAATCTTGGAATAGAAGAACTTCATAGGTATGTGAACACTCATGCGACGTTTATCGTCAAAAGTTAAAATGTTGAAAGGGCTTCAACTCCATAATAACTATGCTATTTCTACGAGAACAAAATTACAAGCAATTACGTTTTGTGTGTAAAAAAATTTACACAAAATACCGACAAACTTGTGTAATTATAGATATTGTAATATTACATATATTATTGTAAATATAAATAATATACTAATTTTGTATTAGTAAAGACTGTTTGTAACAGTAATTTATTTATTCAGATATTTATACCAATGTTATTTATTGTTAATTTTACTGAATATTCTCCCTGGATATTTGGTGGTAAATTTAACAGGGATACTTGATGGAATGCTGTACACCAAGTTTATTGTTAAAACAGCAATATCTGCAATAAAGAATCCATCACACATTTGTGGTGGGGTTCGTGTTTTTTTTTTGGGGGGGGGGGATGTCTATGTATAATATATTGAAAACTGTTGTTTGACCGTCCATTTTCTATTGTAAATTATGTTGAGTGTCTTTCTTCGACATATGGTTTTGACTAACACATTAATATGTTCTCTCCTTTGTTATGAGCTGCTCAATAAAAGAACTTTATTATAGACAACTTTATTCGTTAATATTTGCTTTGAACTTGGTGACAGTAAACGCTAGTACTCTCAGATCTGTACATTGTGTCTTTTTGTTGTTAGGGTTAGGGTTAGGGTTAATTCAGTAAAATTACATTTGAAACCTTCTTAAATAATAAACACAATTTCTTTTAAAAATTTGATGGATTAATGACTGCCATGACTATCCTATACTTTAAGCAGATAGTTTTCACAAGTCATTTAAGTGTGTAATAATACGCAAGTCATTTTTTTATGACAATGTATATTTTGGTTTTTAACAATATCAGTTAGTAGTTCATTGACTTAATCTAACAAACCATTAGCATATGATACACAAAGAGTATTTTGTGGCATTATTTTTTTGTTTGGTTTCTGTTTATTGACAAATACCCAATGTCTAGATTTAATCATATGCATTGAATTTTGCAGTTGCAGTAATCTCATTCCAATACAGCTTTCATTATTTTATAATATTAGTGAAATACTATCATTTTCTTTGGAAATGTCAGTACCAATTTCGGAACATGACAGTTGTTTTCCATTCTTTCCGTTGCTTGATAAAGTATAACGTTTGAGATTTTTTATGGACTTACTCTTTTTGAATTTACCTTGGAATTCGGTATTTTTGTTAATACTTTTTTCTTTTTCTAGAAATTAGTGGCGAAATTTTAATCGACACCTCGTGGATAGCAGAGCACTATGACGATAAACAAAGGACGGAATATAAGAACGTAGTATTGGAACTAGAAAAAGAGGTGAGTTGTAAAAAGCATACGATACCTATTTTTGTTTTCAACTTTGACAAACGTTAATTTCGATATACACTCTCAAACTATGCAAAGAAATGTTTACCTTTATGGCTTTTTTTTATTTCAGTTTGATTTTGGAATGTTTGAAGTAAAATCACAAAATTTCATATTTCAATACTACTCCGTAACAATAACACAACTTAAACGAAATATATGTTGTCGACCGGTTTTTAAGACTAGTGTTCCTTAGTTTATAGGCCTTTTCAACTTTGTTACCAGGCTGAAGGTTATAACCAATAGCAATATTGTAAAACTTGATAATTATGATTGGTGAAAGAAATTCAAAGACAATTTTGAAAATTCAGAAAATCTTATTCTTTTGTAAATGCTTGAAATTTCTTTCCCGTTTTTGATGCATAATAACATTACAGTAAATTCTTAAAGCTAAACCGTTGTGCAAGCATTCTCGCCACACACCACATAATTGACGAAACGTTTTCTTCTACAGGATTTTTATTGATGATAAAAAGGTTTATACTAGTCTTTAATTGCCTTGAGCTTTATTTCTTTCGGTAAAATTTATGCACTTCCATACACAGCAATTCATTTTTTTTTCTTTACAACCGGTTCTAGATTTAGGCGTCAGTGCATTTTCCGCGAATTTTGGATGCCTATTTTCAGTAAAGTTGCGAAAACAAAACGTAAAATTTTGATTGATAATTATCTCCCCTGCAACTGTATTGTTAATCTGGTTTCCGTCCGGATTTTGACAAACTTGGAACCAAAACGTCCAAGTTCAAGATCACCGATAACTCATACCGGCCGTTAATATTTTGTATGTTTCGAATGGATACTGAATATTTACGGAGGAAACTGTATTGTTAGCCTATAATACAACTGCTTTATTATTTCATTGTTATTATTTTTTTAACATAGCAAAAGAAAAAAAAAAGAAAAAGAAAATAGTAACATACAAAAAATAGCAAATTAAAGAACAGAGACACACAAACCTCGATAAAACGGCAATGAGCTGATGTCCTGGCGATTTGTTGGCAGTTCATAGTCCACATGTCCCTTGCGTCGCGTTACTAAATGGTATATCTAAAACCGAGGATAGAAAAACGAAACATGCAACAAAACTATATCATATTCTAACTTAAGGTTGCACAATGAAGAATACCGGTGTTCATAGAAATAATATAAATGAAAAAAAAAAATAAAAAAAAAATGTGCTGCATTCGATTTGAATCCCTAATAAAGACATTCTAGTAATTTGTTTCAAAAGATTATGATACTAAGATCCTTTCGTAACAAATTTGAAATCTAAGTAAGGACTTCTTTATTTGAATTAAATATGTTTTGAATAATTTTAACATTCTATGAACAGCAAATAGACAGAAAATTATCGCATCAAGGATATTTCACGAAATCACAATTGGGTTGTGAAACTCTCGGAACAAAACATCAACCAACAACTGTATAGACCCAGTGGTTGCAAAAAAGACATCAACGATACCAGGATTATACTCGTATAACAGTTATGGTTATTCAGTGGGGTTCTCTTGTGCAATTTACAAACCTAAAGGCTGAATAAGATTGCTCTGTAATGTATAAATATTCTTTAAAAAAAGATAAAACGTAAAAACATCATGCTGATATGGCATGTAGAATAGGTTTTTGATAATTGTAGCCTATTGTCTATAAAACGAAACAAATCGACAATAACTTTGGTATTTATGCTGGCTTAGTTACATTCGATGTTCAAACCGCATAAGTTAATTTGGGTACTGTCAGATTTCCATAAGGGCTGTCGGAGGATCGCTGGACGTACGAATAAATTTTCCGGATTAAAATTTTTATTCTAGTACTGTTTAGTAATTTCAAGATGTTTATATAAATAAAACTTTGAATAAAAGATGTTCCTGCTATCCATTAATGGAGATATGTAACATATCAAGACGTTGTATATACATCGATTTCTTTGTTGGCAACCGTCTAAAATTAAAAAAAAAGAAATGTATGATACCTATTTACAACACCTCTACATGTATAAATTGAATAACTCCAATCTTGTATGTTCAAGACCAACATGTTGGAAAGTCAAATACATAAAATTTTGAAGAACAGTAACTTAAAATAAGTTTTGAAAAAAGAACAGCTAAACCCGTCCATGGTTAATTTTGTTGATGCACTTCCAATCATAGTTTAAGCATCCATGCATAATTTAGAACAATCGTTGTATGGGCAACACGACGAATGTTCTAATGCAATAGAAATTGCCTACCCTTACGGCGCACCTAAATTGACTTCCATTTTTGGGTTCTTGTTTCGCAATTTCAAGTGTTTAGTATGCGAAATCGAAAAATAAAGGATTACAAGGTATGGTTTTTGATATTGAAATGCCAACATTTACAATCGGCTTTGAAAATATTAAAAAACAATAAATTATTTATTTTGCAGATAAAAGCTCTGTTCAACAACAACACGAATTCAAGATATAATTTACTATCTGTTAGTGGGACTGACTTAAGGTAGGCCAATGAAATACTTTATATATGCATTCATATTAAAGTGATTTTTGTATATCGATTTTTTTTCGATCATGAAATATTGTCTGCGATTGAAAAAAAGAAAAGCCTCAAAATAAAAATTTACACGAAAGACTGTTTTAAATAAAATTTTCCTCCTATTGCAGATTTTTTTTAATTGATCATCATTAAAGTCAAGATAGATATGAATATTATTGTTTATGTTAAAAAAAATGTTAAAGAAAAGCAAATGTTTATGCAAAAACACTTTAATATTTGTGATGTGCACTATGGATTTTAACAAAATCACATTTATCAATGTTATCCTAACCTAAATTGTGTAAACTATTGAAAGGTATCTCTTACTGTATCATATTCTAAGCGCCATATATAAATGATGTTTGAAGCTTCAAACCTCATGTGAAAATACAATTAAGAGTGGGAGGATAAAGTTATCTTAACTCACCATCTATTCAAAGCATGGTTTTATTTTTATTTTGGAATCCCAAGTGTACTGATTTATCAAAATTTCAAATATTTTCCTATCTTTGTTTACAAATGTAAACAATTCGATGCAGAATTCATAGAAATCAAAAACAAAAGAGCACTAAAAAGAGGCAGATATCAAAAGGATATTAAAAATCAAAAGTCGAAGACAAACTGACAACTGAATGGCAAAATCGGAAAACGACGAAAAGACAAACAACAGTCTATAAAACACAATACAGAAAACTAAAAATTTAGTAACACGAACCCTACCAAATCCCAGGTACTCTTTAAGGGTTACCAGATTCTGTTCTACAAATAGCGCCCGTTGTGTTGCTCATGTTAAGTACAAATTCTGTTATTAGTCATATACGGTGTTGTGATATTAAGTTAGAGGAAAAGAGGACGAAATTGGAGAGACGACAGTTATAACATATTCGTCGTTATATGTGATCCAGAAGTTTTAAATTATAAAGAAACTAAGGTTTCACCTCCCTCAGGCAAAGTTGACCTATATGGATTTGGCTATTTTTTTTTAAGTCGTTTTTGGTTATAAAGCTCTTAAACTGTTTCGGTTCTTATGCATCCGTGGCTTTCAAATATTCCGCTTTAAGCGTTTCTGATGAAGGTAAATCCAGGTAAAAGCATTCGGACGCATGAAATTTATAACGCATTGTTTTCATTTTTTTCTATAATGGTCAACCAACTCGTGGTGGCGTCCGTAATATTTTCGAAGGGATGACATCAACTTTACCACATGGAATCCTTTGTTTACCAGCTTTACGTTGACTATATAATTACCAATTTGAAACATTAGTTATCATTATTCGTAGATACCAGGTCAGCGATGCAAGCTCCTCGGAGCCTCAAGCTAGCTGATATAGGGAAGTTCTATAATGACTTTTTTCATTACAGGCCCAGGGAAGGATCTGTTTTATTTTCATTTGATTTAGTGTTTAGTGATGAATATATTAATGGTAATGAATTACAACATGTCTTGCAACAGAAAGTTCTAAGCCATAAAAAGACTGAAGGAACAACGCTGCCTTGGTTAAGGAGAGCATTTACGCATTCTATTAAAATTGGTATGTAGTCATCATTTTACTGATACGATCCTAAAATTATAAATTCATCTGATAAACCTAAATAAAAAAACGCGCATGATTTTTACAGTTTAACGTTGTAGTCATGTAAAATGGATTGTTTTCAATTACTACATCTTGATGAAGCTAAAATTATTCATTCCTTTTAATCTTTTCTTGTGAAGATATTCTTACTATTCTGTTTTAATCCTTTGAATGTTACATGCTTCATTGCTAAGCTGGTCATTCAGATTTTACAACTATTATATAAGACATTACAAACACACATTTTCGTCTGAGTTCATAAAAACGTTATCAACAATTGTTAAATTACTCTCTTTCTAGTTCCTTAATATAAGATAAAATGGAAAACAGTACTGTAAATTCAGAAATTATTGCGTGCATTTATTATTGCGATTTTGTCATTTTAGACTAAAATGCGATTTTAATTTTTGCGATATTGAGAAAAATCCTGTTTAATTCATATAAAAAATTTCAAAATGCGAGTTTTAATTATTGCGATTATAACCCTGTCGCATTTTTCGCAATAATAAAAACATCGCAATAATTTCTGAATTTACAGTACATATTAAGAAACGGATGTTTAGAAAATTAGTAAATTAAGCATCCCAATGATTGCAAAGAGTATCTCCTTTGTGACTGAATATTACTTAGGAGAGAAATAAAAGCTAAATAGAATTGTGAAAAAGTTTTCTTTAAATTTTGATTTCTAACTTATACTTTTAAAATAAGGAGATGTGGTATGATTGCCAATGAGACAACTATCCGCCAGAGTTCAGATGAAGTGCATGTAAGCAATTATAGGTAACCGTGTGACATTCAACAATGAGAAAAACCTATACCGTATAGTTGATTACCGTCTTCTTGTCGTCGACTGGGAACATACAAAATATTGTATTTCAAACACAGATATTTACTGTACGATTTTTCAGATAAATGACGAAGTTTTCTAAGTAGGACAATATAAATTACATTCAGTTATTGTTACTTTGATACTCAAATTCACATGGTTTTATTTATTGTTTATACATAGTAATATATTTCTTTTTACTTAAAGGTGACAAAAAAGCATTAGGGGGAAAAACAGGATTGCAAAAAATACAGAATCTGGGCATCTTTCTTCTAATCATACTTCTATTAGCTATATGCATTGCCCTTGTTGTGGAGATATCAAAAGTTGACCGTAAGTAATCTTATACCTTTGACTATAGCTATGACCGGAATATTGAAGTAAAATAATGGTTGTTTTAGGTTTTGTTTGTTCATGCCTTGTTGTTTGTTTTTGTGCAAAAATCTTTTTTCTGCTAAAAAAAATGCCTTTTGGGCAATGTCTTTTTCGATTCGATCTGTCATGGAACTAACTTTTTCTTTCATTTCTCTACGGAATTATTGGCTCCACCTTGTATGATGCCTTTTTAAAATAACACAAAATAAGATTTGTTTAGAAATTCCAAAATAAATGAATAACTTAAGTCACCTTTTCATGTAAATGGTAAATATTGAAACATGCGAGTATAAATAAGGAAATTGTTTCTTTCATCAAAATTGCATGTGCGTTTCTATTTACAATTGAAGGAGCGTTTACTAGTATTTGCATATCCAGGTGAATTTCATAGAAAAGTAAACTTGTAAATAAACAAAGTAAAAAAAATGAAGGATATCAACTGAGAAATTGCTGTATTTGCTTTTACACGAGACAGCTATATAGATAAACTATATAAGGCTTAATCACGAGAAACATTTGTAACATGTGCAATACTTTATAAAGACATTTTTTACAGAATTTGTAAAATATATTAGACAAATTCTTGTACATTCACAAAAAACAAGATCACTTCGAGACTCCTACTAATACATTTTTAAACAAAAATTCTCAGGCGTTAATTGGTGTAATTTAAGAGTCTATGTTGCATTAAAAAACACATTCACTCTCAATGTGTGGTTAATCTTTTTTTGTTTTAAATCTCAAATACTTATAAAGTATTTATAAATTTATTTGATCACCCGAACTTCAGGGATTTTACTGGTGGTAAATCAAGAAATGCTCATCGTTCTATGAGAATATTTTATGTTTTATTTTAATCTGTTGTTATACTCAACAGTATAGACATATTTTTATCATTTGTTTAGAATATCTGATGTAAAACAATTAAGTCTTGTTGCGTCTTTTTAGTTATTCATAAAGTTATTTGCACATTCGGAAAATACTAGAAATCAAACACAGAAGTTACCCGATAACTACAAGGTATATTCCAATCATAGGACACTCACGAAAGTGTTTTAATAAATCATTACAAGGAAGCTATTGGACCATGAGTTCCAAATGATGAAGTTGAAACCATCCCGTCGAAAATTCTACGGCCGCCATCATGAGTTGGGTGACCGTTATGGAATATCTATTTCACAGATGACGTATGATATGTTCCAACTGTTGTAACCACAATCCCGTCCTCTTTTCCTCGAATGTGACCTACCAAATTAGACTTATCACCGGGTTTGCACTTACATGAACAACACGCCGGGTGCTACATGTGGAGAAGGATCTGCTTACCCTCTGGAGCACCTGAGATCCCCCCGGTTTTAGGTAGGGTTCGTGTTGCTCAGTCTTTAGTTTTCTATGATATGTTTTGTGTACTGTTGTTTGTCTTTTCGTCGTTTTACGTATTTTGTCATCTCATTGTCAGTTTGATTTCGAAATATGAGTTTAAATATCCCTTTGGTATCTTTAGCCTTTTTTATATAAAATTGAAGAAAAAGGATTGTTTTTACCATATTGATAAAGTATTTTGAGGACAAATCGAGAAAAGTTATCACAAAAACTGCAAGACAAGTACGAATAACATCTTTAAAATTATACGACACAAAAGTATAGCTCAAAAGTTTATGACGAGACTATCATCTCGAAATCTTCAGAAAACTCAATTATTCGTTTCGAAATGATTAATCCAATCCTATGACTTGCAAGTCAAGAATTTCAGCAGCAAAAAGCATCAAGTCTTTTTTTACTATGATCATCCCAGTTTGCGTTGAAAATATGTTCAGTTCTTTATTTGTTATCTGTAGTTTTCTACTTTTTGTTATTTTAATGAATTCAAATCAAGAATTGTTTTCTTTTGCAGATAATCTGCCAAGTGAAAACAAGACAGGTAATTTTGGTTATGTTTATTATCACAAATGAGGTTTATATTAAAATTATAAATGTATAAGCCTGGTATCTTTGATTAGTTTTTTTTTACAACCACTAGGTTGATGCCACTGATGGACGAGGTTTCCTCATCGAACCCAGTAGTCAGCATTTCTGTGTTGACATGAAGTATCATTGATATAGTCATATTTATAAATTAAATGTTTACATAACTTTAAATTCTTGGAAATGATAAGGATTTTCTTCGCCAGATATAGACTACCTTCGTACGTTATTGGCGTTTTATTCGTTTGTCTCATAGTATGAAGTATTATTGCTTTGAACATTCTTATAGTTTGTAAGCATTTGACAAGAACTAAAAATATCATATCAACTCTTGTTATTTTCAATTGATACAAAAAATGTTCAGTTAATAATGAATATATTTGAACTAGAAGTAAGGTAACAAATGCAATCAGCAAAGTATCTTAATACGACTTTGGCTGGTCTGTTCCAGTCCTTTTACGTCTTAAACGTTTATATAACATGCCCCCTCAATGTTTTGGTTCAGGCTTACCAAACAAATATTGTATCTTACCTTTATATCAGAGACATTAAAAAGGTAGACAAGAGAATGTTTTGTACACTGTTCACTTGTTTTTTTATGAGAAAAATACTTTCAATTGATTATTTTCTTTTTTTTATAATTTTAATCATCAGTTGACAATAATTCTATAGGTCTCCGTAACTCTGTAAATCTTTCCAACATATATCTTCCCAAGGTCCAAAACCTACTACGAATGGCTATACAAAAGAACAAGAAACGACTGTAGCACGTACCACAACAACAAAACAAGAAACGCAAACAAGAAAAATAACTACTGATGAGGTAACAACAATGGCGGGAACTCAAACGTCAACAACAATGACGGAACACGAAACGACAAAAATAACGATGACAGAAAATGATACAACAGGAACAGTGATTGAGCAGAATACGACAACAACTATAGACGAGAAAACAACGATAGCGAAAGTTAATGCGACAACAACGACGATGGAACAGGAAACAATAACAACAGATCAGGCAACACCGACGGCGGAACTTGAAAAGACAACAACAGCGATGTATAACGGGACGACAACAACAATGATGGATGAGGGAACGACGATAACAATGATGGATAAGGGAACGACAACAGCAATGATGGATAAGGGTACGACAACAACAATCATGACCCAGGGAACGACAACACCAATGATGAATAAGGGAACATCAACAACAATGAGCCCTAAGGGAACGACAACAAACATGATGGCTGAGGGAAAGACAACAACAATGATAAATGATAATACAACAACAATAATGGCTGAGGGAACAGCAGCAACAATGATGGCTGAGGGAAAGACAACAACAATGACGGCTGAAGGAACGACAACAACAATGATGGATGAGGGAACGACAACACCAATGATGGCTGAGGGAACGACAACAACAATGATGGCTGAGGGAACGACAACAACAATAATGGCCGAAGGAAATACAACAATGATGGCTGAGGGAACGACAACAATGAAGATGAATAAGGGAACGACAACAGCAATGATGGCCGAGGGAACGAAAACAACAATGATGGCTGAGGGAACGACAATAACAATGATGACTGAAGGAACGACAACAACAATGATGGCTGGGAGAACGACAACAACAATGATGACTGAGGGAACGACAACAATGATGATGGATGAGAGAACGCCATCAACCATGATGGATAAGGGCACGACTACAACAATGATGGATAAAAGAACGACAGTAACAATGATGGCTGAGGGAACAACAACAACAACGGTTGATCATGGAGCGACTGCAATATCTACAGAAAAAGAAACAACCACTGCTGAACGTGACATGACAACAACAATGATGGAACAGGAAATTACTACAACCAATGTAACAATTCCGTAGAGACAGGTAAAATTCGTGCATTTTTTCGATGTCACAATGCTTACGTTATTATGTTACAGTAAGAGCCGATTGTTCAATGACGTAATTTACGCCGATTGACCTCAGATCAAACGGCTTAACTCATTCATTAAAAAGAACACGAAATTGGTATATTCTTCTTTTGTTTACATATCAATCACTTACTAACCATATGTCTCTTGGTTCATAAGTAAAATAGAGAAATGTGATTATGTAAGAATGTCACCTCCCTAAACTTTAACATGTATATTAAGTATACCTCGTAAAATAAAACAATACAATGTTGATTAAAATGCATTTAAGTAATAAAATGAAAAAGAGAATAGCTGGTAACTGAAACTGTATATATCAATGCCATAGTCCCCATCAATTCACACGGCATGAAATATAAAATCACCTCAAGCTTATGAAATATAATGGACTGCATGTTCACAGTACAATGCAACCAAAATTTGAAAAGCCATAAGGGTGCGTTTACACGGTACGAGTTTCCATCCGATTTCCATCCGATTTTTACCTGTGATGTCGTTTCGACAAAAAATCGCACCATGTGAACACTAGAATCGGATGTTGTTTGGAAAACCAAAATGTTGTTTGTTGAGCATAGGTTTTAAAATTTGTTTTTACTCATATTTATTAGGGAATTGGTTAGGTAATTACTGCAAATAAAAAAACATAACATTGAAAGCTTAGCTAGATAGATAGATCTTTATTCTCATAAACTAAATTACATAGTTACAGAGATGATAATATACACAATATAACATATTTTGCATGTGTGAACATTACATAAATAACTGTACTTTTACCAGGAGAACAGACTTTTGCTGATAAATAATTAATAAACCTACACAACTTTTCTAGTAAAACAATATTGACTGTAATGAATACATCATTAAATTTAAGAATATTAACATTTATACAACAATTGTGTGGTAAATATATATGTCGTTCTTTTTTGAAAAAAGGACAAGACATTTCATAATGGAATTCATCTCCGATGTCAGCAGATTCACAAAGGTAACATAATCTCTCTGGTCTTTGAACATTTTGTCACCTCCCTGTCTCCACTGACAAACGGTGATTACCACATTTAAATTTATACAATTTCAATTGCAGTACTATCGATATTAATTGACTCACATTTACATAGACATTTATGACATGTTCTTGTGTATTTTTTTCATTGGCAGGAAGTGAACTTACTATGAGTGAAGGATTCCCTCTAAATTAAATGAACGTATTGCAGAGTCTAGGTGACTGTAAATGAAGGAAGCAAGACTTTGAACAATATTGTCAAAGGATGTGTAAAACATAGTAATAATATATAATGATAGAACAATAATATTGATTTTTGATTTAAGATTAGAAATTAAAAATGTACAGGGAAAGTATGAAAGTAATAGATTTATGTATTCAAATATTAATTATTGCGGTAATTCATTATATTTACCTTGTAATTTGGTAAGGCAGACGGGCGTTTCGTATACAGAAGACTCACCAGTGGCGCTCGAATCAAAACAGTTGGCAGGACAAATCAAACAAGAAGTTGAAGAGCATAAAAAACCGAATATTCAGAAAATTTGTAACAAATAAACTAGTTTTTTTATTATCATTAGTTATTATCATTATCATTATTTTTGTTGTTGTAACGATAAGAGCATTGTTTTACATTTTGAATTATCATATTTAACTTAAAATTTTACGTAAATTACGTGAACAACTCTTATTAAATTAATACAAGTCACAACACGAAAACGTTAATCCAAATCTCCATCAAAATGAAACACATGTCATATTAAATAGATCTTTTTTGTAATCTTTCGCCTGAACTGTTCTAATTTTTCCTAGAAATTGACATGTTTTATTTATATTCTGTAGAATACAATATTTTTTATTGGTTTTTTAAAAGTGTAGTTGTAATGATATTATACAGAAAACTAATTTTTAGTATATTTATATATTTTTTATATTATTACAGCTGAATAAAATGCATCTTAAATAAACATATTAGAGGCATTGATATACGTTTTTTGATGTTATTGTTAGTCTTTTTGATAATTAAAGCCCCTAATGTTTTTTATATCTCCTTGGCTTTAATGTTTTGGGTTTGAGCGTTTCTGATGTATGTTAATCCATAAGATTGCTGCGGATGCACACAATGTATGAAGTTTTAGTTTCAGCATTGAAGTAAAATGAAATATAATACTTTCCATGGTTTCAGTTACTCGTACTGGGTAGATACTGCTGCTGGTGGACCGCTTGTCTCCAATGGTAGGTATCATCAGCTCAGTAGTCAGTGAATCGGTAAAGACATCATTTATAACATTCCTTTCTTAATTTCTCCGTTGATAAAATTATAAAAATTATTAAAAAAACTATGGTTCCAACTCCCTTCGAGCAAACCTGACCTTACATGAATTTGACTATTTATTTATTTCCAGGTAAAACCATATACGAAATATCTCCCTTGGAAACTATAAGATTTCTGGTGCAAATATAGAAAATACTTAAGCGTAAAATAGTGCCATCTTTCTTTCTATTTCCCTGGGATACTTTTAATGAAGACCAGTTGAATATGTATAGTAAAAATATACGCTTTTTGTCTATTCTTTTTCATAAAAAAATAATCCTATATGAGCTATTCCTTTTTATATGACTGATTGTTCGTGTAATCCTCTGAAATTAAACTTGTAAAGGTAAGATGCTTTCAATAAGTAAAATGAATCATGTTCAGAAATCTAGGCATATGTCTTACATTGGATATGGAGGATTTCTATTGTTTCCCATTCAAAACACGTTTCCTTTTAAAAATATTCATTTTCTCAACAACAAAGAAATAGAATATAAAATTGGGATTAAGTTTGTAATGGTTTTATTTTATTCATTTTCTAACCATTACAAGAATGTTAATATAGAATTGTGTTAGTAATGGTGTAATTATATTTCTCTAATTCTTCGTCAATTTATCCCTTTCTGCACCCATTGTATAAAAAAATTTAATCAACGTGTGGTTCGTTTGATCTCAGTTCTTCATTGGTTAAATTCCGATTATGACGTCGAATTTTCTTGCTTTCCTCTGGATTTCCTATTGTGACGGCATGAAAAAAGGCGACCATGCCTGATGACGTCACATAGAAAGAACACATCTTTTTGCAAATCATTCGAAAAGAAGGAATAAGTTTGCCTGCATATTGTTAGAAAATCATTAGAGAAACAGATTCCACCACCAAATCTCGTGTAATACGATATTTATCCACTCTCGACAGTTAAATTTTCAAATTTAAAACGCGAGGCTCGCCGAGCATTTTAAATATTTAAAATTTAACTGTCGAGAGTGGATAAATATCGTATCAAACGAGATTTGGTGGTGGAATCTGTTTCTCTAATGATTTTCAAACAGTATGCAGGCAAACATACTCCTTCTTTTTGAATGATCTGCAAAAAGATGTGTTCTTTCTATGTGACGTCATCAGGCATGGTCGCCTTTTTTCATGCCGTCACAATAGGAAATTCAGAGGAAAGCAAGAAAATTCGACGTCATAATCGGATTTTAACCAATGAAGAACTGAGATCAAACGAACCACACGTTGATTAAATTTTTTTTATACAATGGGTGCAGAAAGGGATAAATTGACGAAGAATTAGAGAAAAAAATTTAATCAACTGAATAATTTTCCATTAACTCTTACACAAACCACAAAACAAGATACTCTATTGTTTATAGATATCAGTAATGTTCAGAATAAAAAAATCATACCTCTTGAACCAAGACATCTCATAATATAATATTGTTTGTGAGTATTCTCTCAAATGAAATATTAAACCAGTAGCATATAATTGATTTTCATTAGTAGTGCTAAATCATGTTGGCTAGTCTCCGCATCTGTCCTACACTATATATGGATATCAATTGAAAAAGGAATTGTTACCCAACGAAACATTTTTGACTGTTTTTTTTCCAGGGAACTTATTTAATGATACAAATTGAACATGTATAGTTTTTCAAGGAAATGTTTTGGTTGTTAGTTTCCTTGGGAAACTAGTTAGTGATAATAGACAGGACAGGCAAGTAGACAAGAAAGTATCCAACATCTTGTTGTGCATGTTGTTCATATGAAATAAATATAATATCCCCGGGGGTAATGGCTAGCAACGCCCGGTTATATGGATTAACAACGTCGGGGGATGTGTTTTTTTTAACGACGTGTTATTTACCAATCGAAATCCAAGAAATGTACTAAGCCGTGGATAAGTTGTTGCAAGGCATATAACATGGACATATAGTTTATAATTATACTTGTAGAAGGACCTATCTGCTATTTTCTATAGGTTGTTTTATGAGATGATTCACATTTTTTTGGTTAAAAAGTTTAAATCAAATTTCAACGCAATATTTACTTCAGATATGAATTTTAAGTATACTTTTTGATAGCAGTGTACAAGCCTTTACAAGCCTTTTCTACATACGGAAATGCCTGTACCATGCCAGGAATATGACAGTTGTTTTCCAGGACAAGAAATCAAAGAAACAACAGACACGGCTTCCTCCTCCTCATTTTTAGACTTATACCTCGAATTTAACATAAGCGGTCATCTCAGTACCAGAATCTATGACAAACGAGACGATTTTAATTTTGAAATTATCAGCTTCACCCACCTTAGTAGCAATATACCAACTTCACCTGTATATGGGATATACATTTCCCAACCAATTCGGTTATCAAGAGCTTGCAGCTGCTACCCAGACTTTATAAAACGTCACCAGTGTCAGAGCAGAAAGTTGATGAACCAGGGTTATGTCAAAGAACGTCTCGTCCTTTTTCTAAAAAAGTTCATCGGATGATACCAAGACCTTGTTTATAAATATCCCGTATGAACTTCACAAATAATACATGATGGTCATAAAGTATAGATTGTTGTTTATCATCTGAATTACGTGTTATAGTGTTTTTTATTTGTCTTTGTAAATTATTAACCTTTACTGTTCATTCCATTTTTGGTAATATCCTTTTGGCGTGGCTCGGTACTTATGCATCCCGCCAATGTGTTGTGCTGTGGTCAGTTTTTGTATTCTTGTCTTTCATTTTTGTTTATGTGCTTTGTCTATACGCCATTTTGTTTTTCTTTGTTGACATATTTGTTTGTTTTCATAATGATTAAGATTATAACACAATGTTGACTGCTGTACCCCTATTATTGACATTTTTACCTATTATGTCTGTTTGTTTTGTTCACACGTTTTTGTCAATATAATAGAATTTTATGCGACTGTCATACAAGTGTGAGGTTTATCTAGATAAAACGAGGTTTAATCCACCATTTTCTATATAGGGAAATGCCTGTACCAAGTCAGGAATACCGGTTGCTTTCATTCGTTTGATGTGTTTGAGCTTTTGATTTTGCCATTTGATAAGGGACTTTCCGATTTGAATTTTCCTTGGAGTTCGGTATTTTTGTTATTTTACTTTTTGCTTTAACTTGAAATGTAGATTGTGCCAGCAAAACAAAAAATTGCGGCAACCCATGACCGCAAAATAGCCCAAAGAAAATGAAGGTTGAGAGACCCACATATATCATAGGTGTACTTGTATTCTGGGTTGCAGGCTAAATGGAATGAATGAAATTCAGAAAGTACGAAAGGAGTTTGATAAAAGGTTATACTTTAACTACATTGTATTCAATTTGCTATATCTCGGAACGTATGAAAGTTAAATTTATACTTTTTTCGATATTCTAATCAATTCGAAGTGTTTTAACTGCTTTGTAAATTTTATTTAAATTCATGAGTTCACCCATTTACGTACATGCTACCTTAATAATGTTCAAATTGAGATCTCTACTGGAAGTTACGAAATCAGTGCTTTTTGTGTTGGTCTTCCTTTTTATACATTTGCTAGGGATACTACTTGCATTAGAAGTGAAATTTACAAACTTTACTTCGAGATTTATCCCTTAAATAACTTCACGAAGTCTATACCAAGTAAACGAGCTGTAAAGTCAGGTACAAACATCCAAAAGTATGCTGTCATAGGCGACTAAAGTTGAAGGTTTAAAATAAATGATCTTTGTGGAATAAATACCTTTCAGCATATAAGCTACGCAATAGTTCCCTTGCTTACAATGTCCGGCCTTTAAGTAAACAGTAGGTTAAAATAAATGACCAAAGTGCTACTTTAATAATAATAAACATTCATAGTTTATAAAAAAAAACTTTGGATAAACTCTTGTCAATGTATGTAGTATTCAAAAATTACTTTTGAAAACCATCTTCAGTGTTTAGTCAGATATCGAACAGTTAGTTAAAAAAGACTGAAAAACTGATCGCAGTTCAATTGAATTTTAATTATCAGCAACAGCCACATTTTTGGGATGTAACTTGTCTCGTCATTTTCATTACAAAACCTTATCGAATAGTTCCAAAACCTAGAAAATATTTAAATCAAGTTTAAATTAGCATTGAATCTTAACATTTTTTATAAACAATCCATATATCATACAATTAAACGTTTCTGTTGGTGTTTTAAAAAAATAGATGACTAATTATATCACTATTTTAATGCATTTTGGTGTAAACATAAAGATAATACAAATAAGACTAAAAGGGAAGCCATATTCTTCAATAGTAGCGGATATATTTATATTTACAATCATCTTCAGAATATAATAAGGTTGATAAAATAGAGATTATCATTATTTTGCCACGATGACTGGAATATACAGTGTGTCTGGTATGTAACAACTATAATAATAATAATAATAATAATAATGGACATAATATATTCTACGGTATATGTCATAATAAAATTAAATGGTGAAATATTTAAAGCGCTATATAACAGTATATACTTCGGCAAACAATAAAAACTTTTCGATCTTGACAGGTTAAGACATTGAGTTTGATGTTTAGCTTTTTTTCAATTATTTTGGTAGGAAAATAAAAAAAAGGAAAACTCATTAACAAATAGTTAATCTTGAATCCTTTATTTCCTGAAGGATTCCTGTTTACGCTGATAACTTTGC